TCTATTCTTCTTTGGTTTGGGTAACTCAGGAGCTTTTTCTTCACTTTGAGAAGTACTGGGCTGAGAAACTGATGGACTGGGCTGAGTGACAACTGAAAAAAACAATGGTAGAAATTTGTCAAGAGTTCACTAGTTAACAATGATAAAGTCAAAAAGCAAACATTTAAGAGAAATGCCAATGCTAAACTTTTAAGAAGCCTTGCTTAAACATGTACTGTAAATAAAGACCACCTTCCATTTTAAATATCAGAAGTACCAAATTTGGCTAATCACCTCTAAATTTTGCAAAATGATCACGTAATTGTTTTTTCCCCTAAGTTTAAAAAAAAATCTGGGAAGTGGCAATGTGTAAGTTTTCTTAAACAACAAAACACCTGCAGCCACCAAGTGGCTTCCAACCCCACAAGCTATAAATTTTTGAAAGCAGATGGCCTCTTCTTTCTCCTCTGTAGAGCAGCTGGTGGGTATAAACCACAGGCTCATGGTCAGCACCACCAGTGCTCCTTGAATTCCTTAATAAAGACAGTTCAGATTAATTAATTCTCAGTAAATAAGTGAAAACTTCTGAAGCACTTGACCATTCAAAAACACATTTTGGTCTTGTGCTGACTGAAAAAAAAAAAAAATCAATCCTATAGAAGAAACTAGCAAATACTGACAAATCCAAAATCTTAAATCTCTAATGAGCTTCAGATCCTAAAATAAAAATTATTTTACTATTTTCACAATTGCATGAAAATCTGGAGGGTTTTTCCTTTTTTAAAGATTAGTAAAGAGAGTACACAGTGGTTCCTAATACTTACAGGGATGGAAGGGATTTAAAAAATGGGAGAAAAATGATGCAGAAAAAGGCAGATAGCTGTGAACCACAGAATTAATTAAGTTATAATACAGGGACAACTACTGCTCTAATCACTTCCACGGTCCGAGTAAATGTATGTTTAAAACAAAAACAAAAATACCTCAAAATACACTAATTTTGTCCATTCTTTTCCAGAAGGATGGAACATTTCAAAATATCAAATACCACACCACACTCTTGGAAATGTGACCTTAGCTTATTGTTTATAACAGAATAGAATTCAATTATAGGCATAAGCTTAAACCTTCAAAGATTGTGTTTCTACTATCGTGATTTCTTCACAATAAACTTTAATATTGTGTTCAGTCACCACTCTACCACAGAATAATGAACTGACTGAAGATTTGAATACTTCAATTGTGCTAAATAAGCAGTTTCTAATGAAACCCAAAATGCCTTTCCATAGTCAGTTTTAAACTCCTCCAAAGTATGATAGGAATTCTACACCTCTTAAAACTTTTAAAAACATCACTATATTCCCGTTGCTTGAGCAGTTTTAAAAATGCAGTTGAGAATTCCTTCATGTTTATGAACAAGATTGAGCAGAAAACACCCTCTCTAGTAATTGGGGTAACTTTAAAAGACGGTAAACTACCTTTCAATTTTACTAAGCTCTTAATAGTTCCAATGTGTTGGTAAAACTGCTGATTTGTGGTATTGGGGTAATGAGGGAGAAAAAGAAAAAATAAACAGCTTAACTATTATTTAAGATAAAAAAACAAATGAGCACTTCCAGATACTTTAAAGATAGTGCTTCCTGCTTTGCCTGTACTAAATAGCTTGCTTTGGTCCTACAACTGGAAAGGAAAACCCCCTCAGTTAACCTTCTCTCAAAATAACAACTTAATATTAAACAAAAAGCATACCTGGTTCTGACACCTCTGTTTTCGGGGTAGTTATTTTGTCCTCTCTTGAAATGCTCATTTCTGTCATTTGCTGAGTTACAGGCAAGGCAGCAACA